TATTGAATTATCATCTGAAAAAGCAAGATATAAAGCATTCTTCTAACAACAGGGACAAAGAAATCTTGCAGGTAAAATGCCACATACTGTCCCAGTTTACAGGCAGAATACTGATATTCCTTATTCTCTTCTTGCAAGGCAGGCAAGAAAGCAAGACAAAAAGAAAACAAACCTCTTTGATTTTTACACTCCAAGAAAGGGCACTACTCCCCCCCCTTAATTAAAGAAAATTACATTCCTCTGGCTCCCTCCAGCTGGAAGTATGTTACGTACATCAGTGGTTTTGTGCACTTCTTATAGAACCATATTGGCACATAACTCACTACTCTTAATCTCATATCTGCAGACTTATCCTAACTTCAGTCAAAGAGCTCTTGCTCCATAGACAACAACTTGTAATGATATTTATCTTTAGGCCAGATTGAAAAATTTTGTTAATCTACATTTCAAATTCTTATGCGTAATAACTACATTAGTTTAATGAATTTGTGGTACTCCTGGGAAAATTAAGACACTTTTCCTAGATCTAGAACCAAAGGGATAAAAAAATGTCTAATAAATGACATACAGACTATGATGTGTAAATACCTGATGTGTCCTCATATACTCAAAGAGATAATCAGCCTTTGTAGAAATTTCTGCTTCCAAATCCACTGTAGTCTAACTATACAACTATGTGCAAATCTTTGCTGAATTGAATGAGCAGCATTAAAACCAAACCTGGGATGGCCCTAACTTCAGTGCATTAGAGTTAGAATGTAAACAGAACTCAAGTAACTGGTTAGTTATCTATTTGGGGACTTTCAGCTATTAGTATACCCTGATAAGTTATCAAACCTCTCAGCACAGATATCTTTCCAAACATTCAGAGATGTATTAACAGGAATAAATTATGCAAAAGTATGCAAGACAAAAGGGTTTCATTCCATTTTACCTTAGATAACATCATAGCTCAAAACTACAAGTAGATCTAATCCATCCTCTTTATGAAAAGCATATTTCACAAGAAAGCACAAGCAAGATAAAACGTCTAGAAAATGAAAAATGGTCACAGGAACTGAATTGATTTGAAGAAGCAATTACTAAATGATTTTGGCAGAGGAGAAAGTACTGGTTCATTTTGGCTTGTAAACCATAATGCAAACTGTAACAACAACAATACCTTACTGGTTGTGATATGAAAATAACAGCCCTTGTCCTCTTCAATGCAAAACGAGCTGATTTAATTTCAGTTGGTGCTGATAATTCTTGCCCAGTGCTTTGTGCACAGATTCACTCCTGTCCTATGCTAAGGCACATTTTAATAAAGAGAATAATGATATCAGAGAATCAGATGGGTTGGAAAAGACCTCCAAGATCATCAAGTCCAACCCTACCATGGTTACTAGACCATGGCACTAATATTTCTGACTTTCTATTTTCTGTGGGAAGCCTAAAATGAAATACTACTCTTCTCCAAACCAGAACTCAGCAGACTCTTCAGAAGCTTTGCAGAACACACTTGCAGGAGGCATGATGAAGTTTCTTTGTATCCCTCCATTCTGCAGTAATTGCACTTGGGACACAACACACATTTGCCATTCTGCACAGCAGGTCCATGTGGGCACACAAATAATCCTCCTGGTTGTTCCCAAGCCTGGAAAAGCATCAACTGCTGTACCTATGTAAGGAAACTCTAGGAATTATTTGCTGTTGTAAGATACAGACTGCATACCCCATAGCTGCACTGCTTTTAGCACTGTGTGAAAATACATTTGCATCTTTTCACTATCCTCCCCATGTTTTACCTTTTAAAATCCTTCCCCCAGTAATATATCCAACCAGACCATCAACTGTGCATGTTCTGCCCCAGGAACAGAATGACTGCCCAGTGGTGATGGCAATATCATCTTCAATCCCTTAAATTATTTCACAAAAAATGCATCTGAAGGAAAAAACCATTTAAAGATCTCATCCTCTGAAACAGCTGCAGAAATCAATAGTGCTCTAACCTCTGTTACCTACTGGTTTAAAACCCAAGCAAATAAATTCACACAAACAAATTCAGTGTAATGTTACACTAACACAAAATGTGTTAAAAAACAGGATCATGACAAATCAAAACTACTAAGAAAAACAGTGAATATTCTGGAGCAAAATGAGGACTGAAAACTTCTCAAGTGATTACAGAAACTCATATGTGTACTGACATCAATGGGCTATAATTCAAAACCCCAAACCTTATGTTAAACCTCCTCTCCAATAACCCTTGCTGGATGACTGAAAAATTTATTTTAAATGAGCATGAAAGAAATTTCAACTTTTAAGGGGGTAACTGGAACAATTTTAACTTACACAAGTGGAAATTTGTCTTTTTTCACCCCCTGGTGCTAATCTCCTGTACTAGTCAGTGAGGAAAACCAAAAATGAACCAACCCAATTCTCTCCTGTAACCCAATTAACAGCAAGAAGCTACAGCAGGAGGAACTTAATCTTGCAATGGTTTCAAAGATCACATGTTGGAGAAAAGAAACATGTCAGCTCTTTGTTTGAAAAGAAGTATGAGGCCATTTCAAGGACTAGTAATGTTAAAAGGCAAAAGTTAGATTAACATTCAAATTTAAGTTGAAATTCCATTTAGTAAAAATGAAGCATTTTCAATAAACCCTAACATTAAAAGGAAAAATGAAATTTTGCTGCTTATTAGCATAAAAGTTTCACGTTTGAAAAGCTAATGACCAGAATTTTCATGTGAATAGAAATGATGCAGAGAAACAAGAAGCAGTAAGAAATATCATGAAATCAGCAAATGACAGATCCTAAAGCAGCTGCGAGTCCTTCTTGAATCTTGACTGGGGTTGTTGATCAACTTTAAAGCCAAGCCATGCTATTTTCTGCCAGCACATGGGGAGAATTAATATGCATTTGGTTCATGTACAGCCTTTCAGCTTACAAATTAAAGTGCACATAAAACTGTTCTTGAATCTGTTAAGAAGCCAAATATTTGATTTTGGACATTCTAAACTCCTGTACAATTCAAGAATGAATTCCATGCTGTACACACCAATGAGGAAATCAAAGCTTGTGTTATCTAACAGCAAAATGTATCAATACTGCCAAGGATAACCCAACTCCTAAAAATTTACTTTGTTTGAAAAAATATATTTACACAATAACTAATGTCAAAACAACTGTTTTGACCTATTCAAGAAAAAAAAGGCCATTAAATATTACACCTCACTTAAGCTACTTTCAAAACCTACTATAAATTCTGTTATATTTTGTATTTTACATTAGACAATTCAACATTTTAATTAACATTTAATGCAAAAATTGCTTTATAATTATAAATACTTTAAAAATTGTATATGAAATTTTATTTTTGTCCAAACATACTTAATATCAACTTCTTTGCCCTAACCTGGTTAAGGTTTAATACAATCTTTTTATATCTTTATAGCTTAATCTGCAGATACTCAGAAGAATAAAGAGTTGCAGCTCTTCCTTGATAACACTGCCATCTGGTGTACACTCTGCATTAGAATGAAGCATTTACCTTGAACTTTTTCATTCTGGAATTTAGTCTGAGGGGGAACAACACTCCATGTACAAACGACGTCTTCAGTACGACTTAACTGTGCATTGGATTAATGACATTTGTTCTCTCAGCTGGAATGGATGGTAAGTATGCAGACATACTAATTTTGAAACCTGTAAAACTCTGTTACAGAACACATTCACATCTGTGTATGCCAAGGTGCTTTTGATAGCCAAAACCAGGAGAACACACAGCTAACATCCTACACACAAAGACAATCTTCCTAGAAGTTTACATAAACACAGACACAGACACCAGATTCAAATATTCCTTGGCTAAATTTGATGCTAAGCAAGCAAAGGCAGGTAGATTCCAAGCTGAGGACATTGGGGCTATTCAGCCTGGAGAAGAGAAGGTTGTGTGGAGACCTCAGAGCACCTTCCAGATCTGCAGGGGCTCCAGGGAAGCTGGAGAGGGACTCTGTGTTAGGAACTGCAGTGACAGGACAAGAGGCAATGGGTACAAACTGAAAGAGGGAAAATTTAGGTTAGATATTAGGAACAAGTTTTTTCCTGTGAGGGTGGTGAGACACTGTCCCAGGTTGCCCAGGGAGGCAGTAGATGCCCCAACCCTGGCAGTGTTCACAGCCAGGTTGGATGAAGCCTTGAGCAACCTGCTCTGGTGGGAGGTGTCCCTGCCCAGGGCAGGGGGTTGGGACTAGATGATCTCTAAGGTCCATTCCAACCCCTATGATTCTATGATTCCACGAAAGGTAGAAAATATATCTGTAAGTACAAGCTAAGTACAACTGGAAAGCATGAAGAAACTGAGAATTGCTAAGGTCGAAATGAAATATCTAAGAATCAAACTGACAGTAGAAATCTACCTTATCTAGAATAGGTAAATATACACTTGACAAACCCAGAGCTCTAGAGAAAACTCCAGATTTACTTAATTCCACCCAACTCTATAGCTATGCTGCCATCTAGTGAAACGAGTACTGACTCTTCCCTGCAAGGCTTCAATTTTGTCCAAATGAGAAGCATTAGATACACCTACCACAGCTAACATCTTTCACCTGTAAATGCCTTATTCCCTCTGCTCCTTCTTCACCACTACATTTTTGTAACATGTGGTGACTAATTTTGGTCATTGGATCGTGAGTATTTTATACACTTAACTTGAAATACAAATAGGCTTACAGACTTCAATGAGAAGCCAAGGAACTAATCAGCACAGATCACAGTCCATGATCAGAAAAAAAATTAGCTATTAGTAGAGTTCAGACCATTACACAGATTAAGTACTGAATTCACAGCAAGTAATACAGATAAATATTACTCTGAGCTTTCAACTTAAATTACTGTGTTGGTTGTTTTTTCATTACATTTAATTAGAATGATGACTTACAAAAACACATGTAAAACCTTTTTGTGAGTTCCAGACACTAAAAGGGAAATAAAGCAAGTAAGGACACACTCACCTGGGAAAATATATTTGCAGTTGGAGTAACTCTGTTGTCCACAATACTGTATAATATTGCTAACAATCTGTCCAGGGGAAATGGCTTTGGCCCAAGGAGGTGATTGCTTGTCTGTAACAGAAACAGGACTTTTCAATCCAATAGATCTTCCCTGGAGTACCACAGGATGCTATTGTCACATCATCTTGGTTTCTGGGGAGGCACTCTAACTCATGGAAGCCTTTCATGCAGCCTCCACATTATGGAAAACACTGAATACATGCTGATTGACCAAGATAAAGATACAGCCATAAAGATCTATTTCCCATGGCAAGTCTTCAAATAGGAACATTTTTGAGCTCTAACAGAGGATTGATGCCAAATTTCCTGTCAACTAGACTTATACATTCACTTGTTCTATTAAATAACCTTGCCCAATCTAAGGACTAAAGAGAAAGGACTGTGTTTTATGGCATTCAGAGAATGGCTTGGTTTGGAAGGAAGTTTCAGAATCCCTTGCAAAGAAGGGGGCAAAACTGGACAGAGCATTCAAGATGCAGTCCAAAGGGTGTTGAGTGTAAGTCCCTGAGTGCATCTGCCTCCCACAAGTTTAGCTGGCTAAAATAAGGAGTCCAGCTGGCTGAGCCCAGCTGCTGTGCTGGTAGAGCTGCTGTACAAAGAGCTGAGCCAGCTACAAACTGTGTTAGCAGAACACAGCATTGTCACTCAGCTTTGCATTCACAGCTATTGTCCCTTATCCTTCTTTTGCACCACACATAGCAACTTCACACCTCAGCTTCACTGATGGACATTTCAGGCATTACAGTTTATTGAATGCAGTAAATTGCATTCACTTGACTCAAAGAAACACAAGTTCATGATTTTTCAATGTTAAGTATTTTTTATATAATTTTCTTTTTTTACAAAAAGGAGAAGTACAGTTCATCAGGCAAAACTGGGTAGTAAGGCAAAACTCAGGCAGCATAGTTAGGACTACAGAGATTTATTTATGAAACACACTGTCAAAAGTTCTTACAAGGGAAATACTTGTTTCCCTTTGAGTTTGTATTTAATTCTCTCTACTCTGACATACAGTTTCCTGGTTTTTATTTGTAGTGTATATTGATTTATCCTTACAAGCAGAGCAGCCAAGATTAAAGAGGATTTTTCAAGGGAAAGTTTACTTCAAAATGTTTCTGGGAAAGAACACCTCTGTGGTGCCAGCCATCAGTGAAACATTACCACTCATTTCATCAGTAAAGCAAGAAGGTACTTCCAGTACATGTTTCAGATTTCCAAATCCAGGTGGTGTCCCCTTGGCTAAGAAAGGAAGTGGTGTGAAAAATCATGGAGCACACAGTCAAAACTTTAACATGGCACTCTCAGAGTGCAGGCATGGTGTGAGTTATGAACTGCACAATCACCTGCCCTTCTGCTTCTAAATTTGCCAGTTCTGTGCAGCATATTCTTTATTATCAGCAGAAAAAAGTCAATAAGCAGAGTAATTAAAATGGGTGCACTCCAAGCAGCTAAGCAAACACAATTAGCTCTGTTTAGTGCACACTTACTTCAGAAACTTCTCAGCATTATCAGCTCTCTGCTTAGACAGAAGACATGTCTAGAACTTTCACATTACTTAAGAGAAATGCTTTCTTCTAGAAAAGCCAGAAGAGTTAATTCTAAGAGAGTTTAACATCTAGAAGAAGCACATCTTTTTTATTATTTCTCTGACAGAAATAAATTCTTAGAAGACCAGGAATGGTTGAGAAACATAAGATGGTAAAGAACAAGAATTTTACAAATCTTCAGGGAGGAGATAAGGCAGAATACTACATGGAATAGTATTTATAAAAATGCAAGAGATCCAACATCTCTCCTATAAACAAAGATACCTTCCACAGTCAGAAAACGTGGTGAAAAACTTTAATGGCCATCAAATAAACTCTGTGTCCTCTATTGTCTTTTCACCTTGGTAATATATTGATCTCTCAAAAACTACTTTTCCCCTTTTGCCACTACCTGTGCTTTTTAACAAGTGCCAGTTTCATGTTCCCACTGCCTACCTGGCCTAAGCCTTCCACAGTACCACAACTGCAAGTCATGTAGTCACACTCACAAAATTTCATGAACAAGAATGCGAAGCAGAAGTTTTCTTTAAAGAGTAAAAGCTTAACTCAAACTAAATTACCTGCACAAAAGAAACTCCTTAATCTCAGCTGGTTGAATTTTCCACTTTTTAAGCACATACTTCAAGACAGAACTATACCTCTCCTTTTTTCTCCTTTTTTTTTTTTTCAGAAAGCATTTCCAGACTTCTTTGGTTGCTATATGACTGAAGCATGTTCAGTTGTAAGCTAGAAATTCTGATACAAAATGAATCCAAGGCTGAGGTTGAAGCAAATATACAAGATAAATTCTTTTTCAATAAAAAACACACCAACACATTTGATCTTCTGATGGACTGACATCTGAAAAAGTCACTCCTGCAAAAACAGCTTCTTCAGGAAGATTTCACTTGTCACTAAACTAGATAAACATCGTTCCTGGGCAACTGTGCAAAGGAACCCAAAAAATTCTACTGCCATCAGCAACAGGGCAATTAATTTCATGATAAAGACAGTTTCTTCCCCTCATTTAGAATATTCACTTTTTCTAATTAAAAAAAACCCCACAGCCTCTGGACTGAACACAGTTAAGAATCACAAGATAGATTTTTAGCCTTGCTGCACCTAAACTTGTAAGGAAGGATTTATTTCATCTAACGTTAGCTTCCTGCCAAGTAGGTCTGCCCAGCAAAACTAGTTTCCTAAGTTCCCATTACAGCCAGGAGAAATCTAATCAATACAACTTGTGGAGCAATTCATTTGACTGAATGCAGAACCTTCTTTAGCATGAGCTGAATCACACCCTACACTCCAGTGACTGTATTGACTAGCTCTGTGCTGTCTATAAAAAGACACCAGTTTAGACACAGGCACCCACTGGAGTTAGCAGCCTGATCTGTAACTCAGTCTTTAGCCAAGCTTCTCTGAGAGAAGGTGTATTGACATAAACCATCACACCAAGTGAGGCAAATGAGTCTTTAATTATAACACCACATATGTAATTCTTGATCCCTGTGTTTCAGTTTCCCTCACCATAGAATTCTTTCTATGAAAGTTCTTTAAAGAATACAAATTATTTTCTGAGAGAAATTCTGATATCTATATACTCTTCAACCTACAATGTCCTTTAGCCAGCTTTATTACATTTTGTTGCACATAAAAATATGTCTTTAGGAGATAGTTTTATGCTACAGTTAAGTTTCAATAAAATAAAAATTACAGAAATTCATCTCATTCCAAACAAATGCACTAATAATTGTTATTTATGCAATTCTGCTGTTTTTACAGTAATCAATGATGCAAACTCACCAGTACAGTAGAAAGAAAACATATGCTGCCAAGCTCAGCTTCAAAGACAAAACACATACCTTCTCATGTCTCTTCATAAAGTTGGTCTTTCTAATCTTTCCATGATGCTGCAAATACACAAAGACAGAGTCAAAACAGTCAACAAAGAATATAGATACTACAAATGGTAGTATGTTATTCTAGGGTGTCTTCTTTACTACACCTCCAGTATTTGATGTTACTACCAGGTCCCTCTTACTATAAGCCCCAAAATCACACTTGTCTTACTCCTTGATTCGTTGTGTCCCAAGTGGTGCAAAGCAGAAACACAACACACTAACACTTTTTGGTGACGTGCCTAAGTTTGTTTCCTCATCTAATCAGGGACTGATGAGAAGAGGCAGTAAAAATTTGGTTTTACTATAACTTCATGCCCCCATCCTCCTCATATCCTCAGTCATCAAACAAAACAGATTTTTCACTTCTTTATCTTTCCAGAGAAGTTTAAATGATGGCTACTTCTTTTTTAAAATGTATCTGTGCATAAAATCCATCTGAATTTTCACCTTTTATTGACCCCATTCTAGAATTTGGATGGTACACAAGTTGGCAGAACGACAACAGGAATTTAATCAATACAATACAAAGGTAGTTCAAGGTGCATGAGGTAAATGACAAAAGGAAGGAAGAGGGGAGGATGGGGGGTGGGTGTTGAAGAGATTAAAAAAGGTGCAGTTTTAGAGCAGTCCTAAGAAAGGAAGGACTATCCAAAGAAAACAACTGGATCTCAAGTCTTGGATCTCAACTGAAACCATGAGGGCAAGACAAGGACAGAAATACAGTAGACAAGATGTGACAAATGAATAGGTTAAGAAAAAAAAAAAATACCAAGAGAGACATGAAGGATGCCATGTGTAAGTGATGTGAAACTAGAGGAGAGCCACAAGCATAACATTATTTAAACATAGTTAAGTGCTATTTCCCAAAATATCACCTCATGAGATTTTCCACAGCCCTGAGAAGTATAGCTTATTAATAAATCTACCTTGTAAGCAAAAAAAAAAAAAAAGGAAAAAAATAACTCAAAAGGAATTGTTTTTTCACTATCATGTTTAAAATCTGGTATTTGTGGCCCTCACAAATCTGATCTCTGTTACTGCAGCTTTCCTTGACTGACTTCTGAAGAGTTTAATATCAGACAGGGCTTAAATTTGCTTTACATGATTCGCCAGAGTTAAACTGAAAAAGTTCATTCAGTTAATACACAGCACACATAGTCAAGAGACAGCAAAGTGATCTTTGATCACACCTCTGAAAAGAAGACTGCAGAGATAACCAAGACCTTTCAGAGGGGAAAGTGATCATGCCTGAGGTTACCCAGCGTGCTTGGGATGGATCACAACAACTGCATTCATGATTTTAAAGGTCACACTGGGATCTCCACGTGGTGTGTTTAAGTTACATCAAAAGTGTTCCAAAGCCAGTGAGCAGGTGCCCTATTTCTGTGCAAGCACAAAGAAACATGAAATTCAGAGCTAATTTGCAATTAGCTTTTAATGCTGTTCTCGATTAAAGACTCCACATATATATTGCTATTCTTTCTTTTTCAGCTTACCTTCCAAACCAGCTTCGTATTTCTCTCTCAAGCTGCTGGAAAGCTCTTGAATTTTCACATAACTAATAGCAGTGATGCCAATTATCACTTCCCTGCTTTGTCAGGCTGTTAGCATTCCAGGCTGCCACAAACTGGGACTTTATTTTCAGCTGTAGTACAGCCCAGCACCTACAGAGTAGTGCAGATTAGCAGCACAATGACCATCCTTTTGTTTGCATCTCTTTTGCTGCCTTCCACTACTAGAGTCAAATCACTCCAGAAGATACTTCTCTGTAATCTCCACTGAATTTCATTGCAAACCTGATAAAAACAATATTCTATTTCCACTGTTCACATGACTCATAAACCAGTCAGCTTGAACCTCCCTAAAAAGTGCTGGTTTTGCTGGGCTTTGAGATGCAGCTATTTCTGGAATTCAACTTGAGACCTGATGAAGGGCTAACTGCTACCAGATGACACATGCAGCAAAAATGGTAACTTCTGCTTCCCCACCTCTTAGGAAAAATAGCTGGAAGCATAGAATCATCAAGGTTGGAGGAGATAGCTAAGATCATCGAGTCCAACCATTAACCTGCCACTGCTGGAGCCCCTAAACCCTAAACCAGATCCTCCAGTGTCAGATCCAGACACCTCTTAAACACTTCCAGGGATGGTGATTCTGCCACCTCCCTGGGCAACCTATTCCAGTGCCTGAACACCCTAACAGGGAAAAAACTTTTCCTAATATCTAATCTGAATCTCCTCTGTCTCAGTTCATGACTATTCCCTCTACTAGAACTGATAATAACCTAACAGCACTGACAATTGCACTGATAACTAATAGCACTGAACAAAATACCTCTCCACAGTCTCTGCTTCAAAAAGCTTAGCAGCTCATGTTTACTATACAAAAGTTTAATAGGGTTCATGTGCAAGAGTAGAAACTAACTCAGAAATATTAAAAAATGAGAAATAAAAATTAAATTGAGAAGGTTGCTCAGTGAAAACAAGAAAGACCTGGTATGTTTTGATAACATGCTTTACTGACTTGACTCTTCTAAGTTTTTGTATTTCTTTACATTTCAAGACTGATATGCAAAAATCTGTGCAGAAACACTTCTTCAGCAAATAAGTATCTAAGAAAGAAAATGCTTTAACAAACTGAAAAGAACAAAGTTTGCCCATAAAGAAAACTTGCCTTTCTACACATCCAACAAGCAACCCTCCACTCAGGAAAGGACTAGACAAGAGTCAAATACCTACAGTTTCCAATGGAAGATCATACCAGAAACACAAAACCTATATTGAAACTCAAAACATACTAGTATATCACCACTAGGAACTGCAGCAACTTCTCAAAACATGCATCTATGATTTTTTTTTTTCAAGAGGGAAGAAGAAATCAATCATACTTTTACAAATTTGTCTTGTCCCATTTTCTTCAACTGCTCACACCTATCCATCCTGAATACCATACATCTCTACACACATGCATGGATCAATAGATACTGTAGCTGTTGATAAAATGCACAGAAAGCCTAATCACTTTTCTGATCCCTGTCTTCCTGCCTACATTTTGCCAAATGAGTAACTCAAAGTGAGGCCATGAGCCAGGCTTAGGAGCATGAAGATCCTGGGTAAGAAACAGACTGACAACAAAGGAGGGCACCACAGCACTTGTTTGCAGCATGACCACGACACAGCCCACAGAGGGAAAAAAGGAAAAGTAACTCAACTTGTACATGGCAAGAACTTACAGAAAATGGGGTTTAGCCCAGGATTTGGTAGTGAGGATTAATACACTCATCCTAAAATATGCATTACCACCATTTTAACACAACACATACCTGCTAATGGAACCATCTTTGCAGATGTTTCTGTGCCAGAAGCTTAAAACTATGTAAGTAAGTTAATAATGCACTATGCCATTTCACCTCATTAAAGGTTCAGGCAGTTCTGCTTTGCACCTTACTCCAGAAGCTGAAGTGTGGCTTATACCCAAGAACACTGCAGACACCCCACAAAAATGTTTTTAAAACAGAGCTGCATCAATTTATAATAGCAAAACACAGTACCTGTGCTGTAACAGTGTTACACATATTTTGACATGAAGAGGAAGTTGAGTTTATTAGAGATTTATGATCACTGAGTTATCATTACCAATTAAACATGTGATCTACAGAAAAGCTTCTCATCAAACCAAACAAAGCACACACAGAAAGAGAGCTCAAAGAGAATGGCTGAAGAGTTTGAAACTAGGAAATTCATTGTGCAGGAATCCAGTAAGCAGCACAAATAAATAAATCTCATTACCTTAAGAAAGAACCTCTTATCTGTCCTAACAGGATTGTAGGAGGCAAGGTAAGCAGCTATTAGAAGAAATTTGGAGTAATAGGGAAGTTCCATATGTGTATGTGCAGAAAGTCCTAGAAAATAAACAAACAGTTTCAGTCACCAAAACCCAGTCTGAACATCCACAAATTTCAAATCAGACTTGTCTGCATTCTTCTTTTCATTCTCTCCTCCTCTATCCCTGTAACAAAGGGAGCATGGCTACTTTCTCAACCCTGTTTTCACAGATACACAGATACATACTCAGTGAAGGGCATGGCACAGAGCTAAACAAAACTAACATTCTGAAGCCTTTTTGGACTCATCTCAGTATTTGAAGCATCAGAGATTCATAAATCTCGCTCACCAAATAAAAAAAATCCAGGCTACTTTCATTTAAGGTCATTTTTCTGGTAAACAGGGCAGATGAAGAGATGTATTTAAACACAAGGGCATAGCTTTTGTCCAAGACTCAACCTTCAGGCTGCTCCAGCCTGTGCCAAACAGCTCACCCAGGACCAGGGCTGGCATGAAGAATGCAGCAGTGCTGTGCTTCTGAAAAAGTAGCTCATCTCACAATTTTTAGCCTGTTTTTATTTCCTACAGACAGTGTTTTAAACATTTTAAACCTGATCCAGTTGCCCTTGCCTGCTACATGTATACTTAAAGCTTCAGATATTAAAACCCACAAGAACTACAGTCTAGTGAGCATCTGTCTTCCCTCTTCTATTTTTATTTGCATTTTTACCTTTACAGTCCCCCGCTCATTTTACACAGCTTATGCATAAGAATAGGATCATCAAACCACCTTACTTCATCAGCTGTCTAACTATGGACACCATTAAAGGGTCTCTCTTCAGCCTTCTTTGCTCGCATGGTGTTTTTTTTACCTCCTTTTTTTACTTCTTTTACTTCCATGGTTTCTTGTCCTGTGAAGCACCTGTACCCTTATGCTTTAATCCCCAAATACCAGCAAATAAAGATCAAGGAATTAGACATGTTTAAAAGTTAAGATTCAGAGGTCACAGTGATGAGAAGCATCCTAGATGACAGCTAGCAATAATTTCCTCTTGTATAGGCATAAAAGAACAGTTCTGGTTTAATTTACAATCAAGAGATGCTTTTGTATTGCATGTTAATTATAAAATCCAACACCAAATAAACTTACAGTTAAGACAATTTAGTTTCATACAGAATTATGAGTTTGTTCCATTCTTCTGGTCAGCCAATATTGCATCACACACTGAACTGTTTACTTATTTTTAACCCACAGTAAAATTTATTAGAATTATTTTTTAAGCATGCTATTATCAAATGCTGTTTAACAATCTTTCCTACTACATGTATGTAAAAGTCAGAGAAAGTGCATCTGAAATAGTCTCCTTTTTTGGAGCTGTCAGGTGCAAAAGTATCTCATGATCACTTGGGCATGGAAGGAGGGAGTTTAATAAGAACACTTTGAATCAAACAACTTTGGCCCACACTGATCACAAAGCAAACAGTCTGATGATAGAAATCATCTTAAGACAGTTTTAAAATAAGGAACTCTTCTACCAATTATCTAAAAAAGAAATTATTGTCATGATAAGTAATATGAAAAAGTGCTTCCAAGCTACAAACTGGTCAAGAGACCATGACCAACTGACATCACCAGGAAAATATTTTAGTATTCCTTCCTAAATTATAAATGAAGGCTGAGAGATGTATTGAGATTCAACTTTCCAGCCTGTCTAAAGTATAAAATCTACAAAGTTGTACTCATCCAAGGAAAGAACAGAGGGAGTTGTTACAATTCTGACAATTCTCTTTGCCAAAAAAAATTAGGACACAGGAGAGCTGTTTGTTTAGGAATGTGCCAATCCAGTAAAATACACCACACAGAACATTCTCTCCTCCCCACTTGGACAATTCTGCCAGTCAGCACACAGAGGTTTGACCATCAGGGCTCAGCTCAACCCTCATCCATTCTCACTTAAGATATACTGATTTAAAGAATTCTGCTTTTACCCCCAAAGGATCTCAGGAGAGATTACTCCCAAGATATAAGCTAGGTTAAAAGTAGTAACACTCTTTTGTGGAACACCTTCTCAAAACTACATGATTACCCTCAACTGCAGCTGAAAACTAACAGGGAGCCTCACCCATCCAGTTTCATTTCACAGTTTCTCAGATAATAATGACCAAGTCAAACTGAAAAGCAAACATTTCAAGCTACAAGCCCCCACAGGGTTACTACATCCAGTACCTTTCAACTGCCCAGCTTCTGCATCATCATGCTGCATGCGCTCCCACTGTGAGCTGAAAGGTAAGGCAAATACAGAAAGATGAAGTATTTATTAGTCTTTTAGAGAAAACTACCTGCTTGGTATCTGCATATTTAATGACACTGGCTAGGATACAGTAAGCAAATATCAACAGGCTTCTAAGTTTCAAGAACAATGCTGGATTGGCTAAAAACACCAAAAGTTTTGATTTCTTTTAATCTGCTTAATAACTGCTTCTGTTCATGAGAACAATACTGTAATTACTTCATAATGTGATTTCGAAGTCTATGCAAAAACCAAAGCAATATTCATTCTTGAGTGAAGGCATCACAATGAAACGTTCTGTCAGCGAAAATTACCTGCAAGTAGTTTGGAGTTTTCCTAAACAATAGCAAAAAATTTCACTTTAAAACTTCCCTCAAGAAATGGCATTGCTAGAAATATTGTATTTTGGATGATTTTGTATACCACAAAGGTATTAAATAAGCAGGTGCACCAGTGCTGTTCTAGTTTGTTATTTTAAAGATCTTTATGAACAACCATAAGCCACAAAACTTATGAAAACAATGTAATGAGAGTTCATGTAAAACTCAAATTATAACGAATGACCAACCAAAGTATCAATGAGGTAAGGTCTTATCCAGTGCCTATTTTACAGGCAGGAAAAAAGTTTCATTTTCATCTCAGGTCAGGTAGCACAACAGCCAATAGCAAAGTTCTAGTACTGCAAATTACAACTTCAAGAAAAATGCAGAGTAATCACAGTTCTGTGGCCAGAAAAACTGACATAGTCATTTTAATTCCTAGAGCATCTACTGGTACATAGAGGTAAATCCTAGAACTATTAAACAGAGAGCTGAAATTCCTAATAGAAACCAAGTCAAGCTCAAACTTATAATCAAAGAAAACTGTAAAGAGCGAAATTAGTTATTTGAAAACAATTCATAAGCTACTTTGTATCTTATATTACACCCTAATTAGAGCAGGCGATTACATAACGTAAAAAGTAAGGAAGGTTCCGAGTACACCGTGCAAAGAAGATCAATATTGAATATAAATAAACATCTGAGGCAAGCAGAGAAATGCCTCATTGTACAGTGAGTCTAGCTTGTACAAAGTAAAATCAATTCCTTTTGTGAAGGAATGATCACTTTTCCAAAACATTAGCAAAGACTTCTACTATACACTCACTCAGGTTCAGTTACCAGAATACTCTATGGCCTCAGCGCCGCTCAAAGGTAAGAAATCAGTGTGGTTTTATCAAGACAAAGAAATCAAGAACTACTGAATTTTCTCTTTACATGGTGTAACATCAGAATCGCTCATCTTGAAGACGGACAGCATTAAATCTAAGCTGATTATTATCACTGAAAATGAACACCACCATCTTTTATTCTAGCTGTGTGGCATCTTAGAAAATAAACATGGAATGAGTCCACAGTGGATCCTTGTGGCTAAAAGACCAATGGAATCCTGGGATGTGTTAAGAGTATTGTCAGCATGTCAAGGAGGTGATCCTGCCTCTCTACTCAACCCTCATGAGGCCACACTGGAGTATTGTGTTCAGTTCTGGGCTCCTCAGGACCAGAGGGACATGGAGCTCCTGGTATTCAGTGGAAGGCAACAAAGATGCTGAAGGGACTGGAGCACCACAGTGATGAGGAAAGGCTGAGGGAGTTGGGCCTGATCAGCCTCGAGATGACCGAGAGGGACCTCATTAACGTATTCAAGTGCATGAATGGAAGTGCCAGGATGATGGATCAGACTCTGCTCACTTGTGGAAACCAATAAAACAAGAGATAACAGCAAAAACTGATGTACAGGAAGTTCCACCTGAATACAAGGAAGCAATTCTTTCCTGTGCAGGATTCCCATGCTTGGCAATTTCATACATGACAGAAAATGGATCTATCTTCACGGTCATCAGTGAAAGGAGAACACAACCTGCTGCCACTGCTTTGCTTACTGAATTTATTGCATGCTACAAATACCATTTTGTTTAAATTTCCTCCTGAGATACCTCACTTCTAATGGAATATGGCAAGAAAGAAATTCACCTGAAAGAAAAAATAGATTACCTCTAGCAAAAAAGAAACACTTCACATGAAACATAATTGAGACATATTTAGAGAGGAAGCTTGTTAAAAGCAGCAACCTCAACAAAGCAAACAAGCCCTCACCCTCCCAATTACCTGGATATTTCCCGGAGATAAACAGTCTGCATTGCCTTCTTCAAATGAGGCTCAATGTTCTTCCAGAGCTTGCGGGTGTCACGTTCATTTGCTGCACCAAGCCAGAGCCAACTCTGTTAAACATTTAACTCACAAAACACCAAACCCATCTCTGACATCTGAACAGTCACAGGCATGACACAAGCAGCTTGACTCTGAATTGCTGTTTTAGGGTGATGCACCATCACCATCATCCATCCAGCATGCACATGCTACCATGCCAGGCTGTTTCTCTGTGGCTATTCCAACATAATCAGGGACAACTGGACAGAACCTCTCCCCTCAGTTTCTCCTCTTAGCTTGACACAGAAATGATGTATCCCATTACTTTGCAGAAATCCTGGCGGTTGAGTGAGAAGAAAAATTTATGGGGGGAGGTAAATTCTGATGCTGTTTCTACCTCTGTTTCCTTAAAAACCAACACCAAATATCATCTACTGCTTCTGCTGCGAGTGCTTCTGACTGGGTGCAACTGGAATAAGCAATGCTGCTGTGACCAGAGGAATCCTTGTGTCACCACACCATGAGGATGAAAGCCAAGCCCTCCACAAAACCCACAGGACAGCACCTGCTCTCTTGTACACCCACTCAAATTAAAGACTGACACTTACCTTCTCCTCTGACTACTGGTTCACAGTATTTAGAAAAATTGAGTGCTGCCTACAGAGAAAATTACAAGTTATTAAAAAGGTACTATATATTTTTTTACCTAGCTACTGAATATAACAAGCAGTGTATTTCAACTGCTTTGCAAAGCAAATGAACTATTTTCCAGCCAATAATTATGGTGCTTGCTTACAAACATCGTGCTGAAAAACATGGCACCTTTTCTATGCCTTAAAAATACAGACACAAGTCACCTATCACAGGTTACTTGGTTTGGATCTCAGCAAAACCTGTTTGATGCACTCAGGGGCTGCATTTTTTAAAACTAACATAATAATTAAACATCATAAATCCAATAAAAATGTTTTCTTTAACCTTTTTTTTTTACTCCCTTCATTTTCAGATGAAACTTTCCATTCCAGGAGCAGTCCAGCATGCTCAAAAGCAGGCCACACACACTTACACACAACCACAACCAACCACAAAAACCCTAACACATTTCATATCCAAAGGAATTCTTTTGGCCTAGGGTGAGATGGAGGTATTTTGGACAACAGTATAATCTAGATCTCTTTCTCAAATGGTTAAATCAATATCACACAGAATTGCGTAAAATAACAACCCTCACATCTCATTCTCCTTCTGTTCTACTGCACTTTATTAAATCTCTGTGATAGGACAGCAAACGCAGCAACTTCCATATATAAATCTAATAAAATTCCAGAATATGTTAATAATCATGCACAGAAACATACACATTTAGAGTCTATATTAAACACTAAGGAGTAGGTCAGAATCCTGCAGATTGTTGTATGTGTCTGTCACTATCTTCTACAGAAGAGATGTGGAAATCACAAAGAGAATTTAGGGTCCAGATATGTATTTCCATCATATTGACATTTTCACACACACACAAACAGTGCATCCACAGCTAACGAAATTCTCATAAGCAGAGCCACTTGAGCACACGTGTGTGCAAGAACTGTGACCCTGATTTCCATCTGTGTCTCCAGCAATCTCATTTAAATAGAAAGTCTGTATGGTTAATAGGTAAATTCAGCTGAAGTTTAACAACATGTTCCCAAGGGAAACGCAGGCAGAATGTTCAGACCATCTCTCTGGCACTGATTAGTTCACTGGCCATAACCATGGATCACTTCAAACTTGTAAAGCTTCCAATATAGCTACTTCAATAACAATCTGATGAGCTAATATTTGCTATTGTTACTAACCTTTTCTTATGCAAAGATCACCATCAAGTAATTTTTCTTGTTCTTCTGTTGAGCTTGTTTACTATTACATTTTTCAGTTGACACATGGTTAAAACCCCTTGTTCCAAATATATTCAATGCATTAGCAAAAAAGTACTAAGCATTGTAATTCCTTTACTGCAACCAAAACAGTTGCAACCTTTGCTATAGATTTTTAGAGAAAGTGCACTTCAAGCTAACACATCCCTAAGAGGGCAGATTTACACTAGATATAAGGAGAAATGTTTTATGATGAGGGTGGTGTGACACTGAAACTGTGGCTGCCCCATTCCTGGAAGAGTTCAAGGCAAGGTTAGATGGGGCTTTGTGCAACCTGGTCTGGTGTAAGGTGCCTGTCCATGGCAGGAGGGCTGGACTAGATGATCTTTAAGAGTTCTTACCAATCCAAACCATTCTATGATTTTTCTCTATGTCCATACTCAACAATAAATCTAGACTTTGACCAAATTTGGCAAAAGACCAATGCAACAACTCCAAAGGAGCTCATCTCACCAGATGCCGAAGTTCTCTCAGGTCCCTACAAACCATGTAGAAGACACCAAGCAGAATATTGATATATGCAGCATAGAAATCCGCAGAATATTCTGGGGGATGATGCTGAGACAAGATCTTCTGAAGATGTCCTATTCAAATAAAAATAAATTGTTTATTTAAAGCCAACTTAAATAACTGACCACAACTTACAAGTTAATTGGAAAAACAAACTACAATCATGACTACAGAAAAACAACAAAATCCACCAAAAATGACTGATTTAAAGAACTGGCAAATATAACAGAACCAAAATGTTACTTTGAGATGTTTTGGCAAGTGGAAAAAACTCAACTGCATGAGGTTCAATGAGGCTCA